AATTAAAAACAGAAGTACAGTCTGTTGGGTGCTATGGTAGGGAAACACAGGACATTAAGGGAAGCTCGTGGAGGTGAACGCGGCCCCGGTTGAGGGGGAGACACTGAACTGAGATTTTGGGGACACCTGGGTGGGTGTGGCTGGTGACTGCGAGGACACAGAACACAAGGCAGGGCAGCGCACTGTTAAAGAACTCAGGCCTGTCGCCTCTTTGTATTTGTACATATTTGGCCTTATTCCACAGGTAAAATAATCTCGTCCCTGATGACCAGGGCCACATGCTCTAACTCTGTCCCTTCAGAAGCTACTCTGTTCGCTAAATACACGCAGTGCTTGGTCAGTGGTTATCAGTGGGAAGTGTTTTCCTGCACACAGGGGGAGAAAAGTCTTGTCCTCAGGAAGTCACTGCTGGGACAAGCACTCGGTGCTCTGCACACACACACACACACACACACGCACACACACAGAGTTCCAGGTCCTGTATCACAACAGCACCCCCGCTGCAGGCCCCCCCTTCCCGGCTGGCCAGCTTCCAGGACAGGAAAGCAGCAGAACCATGCATCAATTCCGTGTCTCTTTCCTTTGACTGGGTATTGATCTCTGATGATTTTTCCAGGTTGGAAGTTACTTAACTTCTCTGGACACATGTTCCTCACCTGTAACCTGGGACTGACACAGGTTTATGGGAATCGAATGAGATAACGTCTGAGTAGATGCTTCAGGAGCGACAGAGTGCTAGGCAGATACAAAGCATTCTTCTTCCACTCATTTTTATTTCCATGATTACATCAGGTGAAAGACACAGTCAGTCTGCTAGCCCCTGCTGCTAATTCACACCCCACGTGCCCACAGATGAACATCACACATCCTGGCCCCGGGAAAAGTGGGGAAGTGCCAACAGTGCAGGCTCCTGTGCCAGTGAGCAAATGCTCACGTTCCCCGGAGGCAGCCTGTGGAATCAGTGGTGATGGGGTTCCGAGCTCTGCAGTCCAGGGTTTCCATGCTTTGGATCCGCCTCTAGACGTTGCATTAACTCCCCCATTCTCCTTCTCTGGCTCTAGTGAGCCTGTGTGCAGTGGGAGAGCAAGGAGCCGAGCAGGACCGGTGCTGAGAACTCTCCCCATCCTCTTTCCCAGGCTTGAGTCAGTGTGGTAATATACTCCCAAAGCCCTCTGAAGAAGTTTAAGAGGCAGACTCCAAATCCTATCTCTGGGTTGGGTGGGAAAGGGTTTGCCTCTAACCAAAGGTTCTGACTCAGAAGCAGAGAGAACCACCAGGGTTCTCTCTTGAGTCCTGAGTCAAGAATTGGTTCCCACTACCTGCTCATACCCAGAAATCCATGTGGCCTTGATCACGAGCTTGACTTGGAGGCACTGAGCTCACTGAGCTGGGGTGGGGCTCACTTCTCCCTTACGGGGAACATCTCTTCCAGCGTGTGGACTATTGGTGCCGGCGGCGAAGCAGATCCCCACACTGATTTATATTCCCTAAGAAATACTGCGAGCAAATCAATCCCTGATAGAAAGAGCTAGAAGTCTGTGCATGAAAAAGCTTCTGAAGGGGAATCCCTAGGCGGAAAGAAATTAGCAACCAAAACTGACTCCAAAAAAAAATCAGAGCCCATAGTGTTGGATTCTGCTTGGGGAATATCAGAGAGGTGACAGCAGAACAGGACATAAAGGATCTTTTGTAGCCCTGGCTGGTATAGCTCAGTGGATTGAGTGTAGGCCTGTGAACCGAAGGATCACGGTTCGATTCCCAGTCAGGGCACATGCCTAGGTTGCAGGCCAGTTCCTGCTGGGGGACAACGCACCAGAGGCAACCACACGTTGATATTTCTCTCCCTCTCTCCTTCCCTTCCCCTCTAAAGATAAATAAATAAAATCCTTTTTTTAAAAAAGGATCTTCTACACAGTTCTCACCCAGTGTCTACTCTATCCGTTTTCTGTGGACCTTGCTCTGGTCCCAGCCAGGGTACCAGCTATCTCCTCCAGGAAGACTTCCAGGGCTGCTCTGCTCCCACCGAACAATCCTGGCCTAAGCCTAAACCTTTTTCCGGTTCACTAATACATTCGAGATAAAGTGGGAGGTTCTGGGGGAGGCTTAAGAAAAATTCCTAGAAACTAAAGGCGGAATAAGATCAGAACAGACCGTGTAAAAACCTAGCAACCGAGAGGTCTGTGACACGCAACCACACCGCAGGGCGAGCGGGGATCTGCCCCCTCCCTGTGCCCCTGGGAGGCAGCATCCGCTTCCCGGGCACAGGAGGCCCCGACGTTACTCTCGTTGCCTTGCCCCTCCCCCACAACCAGTCTCTCCTCTCTGTTCTCCCCCAGAAGTACCTCAAGCCTGTCTCCTGGGCTCCGTCCCAAAGACCCTGCCTTGTTCTCGCCGTCTCTTTCCTGGGCACGGCTGCAGCTCTCTCACCAGGCTTTCTTCGCTCCAGACTTTCTACCTGAAATTCCTTTCCTGATCTTCCTGGTGAATGCCTCATCCTTTAGAAAAACTTAACTCAAGTGCCACCTCCTCCAAGAAGTCTCCGGGGACTTCCCAGGCAGAGCTTATTGTTTCATTCTCTGTGCACTTTCGTTTACCCTAAAACAGCATCTCCCGCAAGGTGCTGGGATTGCTGGTTAGCCTGTCTTCCTAACCCACCACCCCTCATGGCCGCTCCTCCAGGGACCCAGACTCTGGCTCATACTTCGCATTCTTTAGAGTCTAGTGGGAGACTGACCTTCCCTACGAAGCAGGAAATGCTTGATGGAGAAAGGAGGGGAGTGGAAAATGGAATGAAAACTTTACCGAGTTACAGGTTCTTCAGTTTCTGAGCCACCCCCTCTAACTCGTGAGGGATAAGAGGCTATTTTCCCACAGGACACTCTTACTGTGCATGAACCCACCATTCTCTGACACACATTTCACAAGGTGCCAATCACCCCACAGTTTCTTCAAAGCTGCTGAAGGGCTTAGAACCCTAAAGAAGCAGAAGTCCAGGGAGATGAGGTGACTGCCTAAATCCACACAGCCGACTAATGGCAAAGGCCAGACTAGAACTCAGGCCTCGCTGTGCCCAGGCCAGGGCCCTTGGCACAGTACCAAAGGCCTCTCTTCAGGTTTTCCCTCCGGGCAACAGCATATAATTATGAACATTAGTACTGGGAATTTACATGCGGCTTTTGCTTCACTGGCTTTTTTATTATCCTTTTGATTAGTAATTCGGTATGCAGCCCAGACGTGGAACAAAGCCAAGACAGGGAGGGAAGAAACAGAAGGAGGCCAAGGCCAAGGCCAAATAGGGGACCATGAGCCCCTGTGAGAGCAATGCCGGAGAGGACCGAAGGTGCAAGAGGGCACATGGACACAAGAGAATAGTGTCCTGGGGGGGCGGGGCCTGTTCACCTGCTGAAAGGGCCTCGGCTGAGTGGTCCAAGAGCCTTTCTAACCCCGGGCCTTTCCTTGTAATGTGGCAGGAGTAATAAGAGCAAGAATACTTTTAACACCCAACAGGTTAAACACCAGTACCAGCCCTGAGACAGACCACAAGGCAGAGGGAGCTCTCTGCCCAGCTTGGAAGAGGAGGGACCCAAGCTCCATGACAGGCGGGGCGGGGCAGGCAGGGCTTCAGGCTCAGACCGCGCCTGTTGGGAGCTCCGTGGAATGGCTCCAGATGCCCCATGTCATGTGGCAGGTAGTGAGGTACGGGAGCCCGCGGCTCAGTGCGCTACGGCATCCTGGGACGGGATGCCAGCCGTGGTCCCCGCTTCCCCCTGCTCTAGGGTTGACTTTGCAGGCCCCTATTTACCTTCATAAAATGAAAATGCTCTCCCCTCCCAACCTCCTGGTACTGGGGTGAGACTCAAGACCTTGTGAGGAGCTTGAAAAATAGCCTCATCCACTCATAGACCTCAAGAAGAGGTGTCTCCATGCTACAAACAGAAAACTGGAGTGAGGGGGTGCTGAAGAGCCCTGCGGTGGGGGAGACAAGCCTCCAGGGGCCTGGGCTCGGAGCTCAGATCTCTCTGGGAGGACTGCGGGCAGTGCCTATCCACTGACAGCCTATTTGGAGCCAATGTGTCACATATATCATCTCGCTTTGTCCTCATATGACCCCTTATGAGGTGCATACAGCTCTCCCATTTTGCTAATGAGAAACCTGAGGCTCCAAGAGGTTAAGTAATTTGCTCAGGATTATGCAGTTAATAAGTGGGACAACCAGGACCAGAATTTAGGCCCCTGGTCTGTAACACCCACACATTTCCCAGCACAGCGCTGCTGCCACCATCTGAAGAGATTTAATCTCTATGACCCCAGGGTCTTCGTGAGTAAAATGAGGGGGGAGGGGCTAGTGCCTCATAGATTTGTTTAAAAATTAAATGAGATTATATGGGTTACAAACATAAAAACCTGCGTGGTGTTTGATAAATAATAGCAGGCCCCCAATAAAATGTTTTTTGTTTGCTCGTTTTTCTGTTTAGGGCATTTCAATATTAAAACTCAGGGCTCGGGCGCCTAGGAGCTCCAAAAATGCTTCCAGAAGCCGGAGGACCTCGCATCGCTTCTGCGGGAGCACGGGAGCAAGGTGGGCAGAAGGGCCGGGAGAAGGGACGCGGCTCCGGGAGCCGGAGAAGCCGGTCGCAGCCTCGCGCCCCTCGCTCCGCCGCCTCCGCCGGGCTCCCGGGCTTCGTGCCCCGCCCCGCCCCGCCCCGGCGCTGGGTCCGGAGCGCCCGGTGGGCTGATTCCGAGCGTGGAAGGGAGCACGAAGCGCCGAGGCGAGAGGGAGGCGGCGGCGGGAGGCGGGGAAGAGGGGGACCCTCCTGGCCGCTCTCCCAAGTCGGCGCGGAGCCGCCTCGGGCCAGGCTGCGGGCTGCGCGGCGGCGGGGCTGGGCCGGGATGCGGGGCTCCCGGGACCACGCCGGGCGGGGCGGGCGGCCGCGGCGGGCGGCGGGCGGGAGCTGTCCGCTGTGCTGAAGCGGCAGAGGCGGCGGCGGCGGCGGCGGCGACCCGGGGCCGGGCGCAGAGGTGCCCTCCTGGGAGTTCCGCCGAGGCCACGAGGCGGGGCGCCGTCGCTCACCGGCCCATGCCGAGCCCCCGAGCCCCGCGAAGGAGGCGGGACCGTCCTCGACAGGACAGGTAAGGGGACGTCTGGGGCGCATCGGGAGCGCAGAGCTGGGCGCTGAGCTGGGACTGAGCTGGGGAAGACAGCGGGGCCCTTCTCAGGGCTGCGCACTCCACCAGAGAACGCGCCAAGTCCTACCCTGCCCCTCACCCTACAGGGTGACAGGGACCCGAGGGACTGGGGCCCAGACAGGCACCTGGGCACTCTGACCCCACACCACCAGGCCTTGACCCCAACCTCAGGCAGCTCTGAAACACCCTGCTCACAAGGAACGCTTGTGAGAGTCCCCCGGATTCCTGGCACCCCTGTCCCCACCAGGGCTGTGTGACACTAGGGAAATTTGAACCAGCTTCACAGCTTCCCTCTCCTTCCCCAAGCCCGCTCCTCAGGGTGACCGCCTCAAGATTTCTTTGCCCTGGAAACGACCCTTGGGCCAAGGGATGCGCCAGGCCCCTCGGGACCTGTTAACCCATTTCTCCGGGGAAGGAAGGAGCTACCAGAAGATGCCTTGATTTTTTTCCCGTGGCCCCCTTGACTCCCGTGGAAGGAGACTGGTTTCCCATCACACAGCGTGGTGCATGAGGGCAGAGAGCGGGAAGACCTGCATCCCGTTTTCTGCGATGCGCCCAAAGGCTGGTCGCCCCAGACGGAAACTCTGTTTGGAGTCCTTCTTCTTTTGGCAAGAGTGAGCTAAATGAGCTCATTCAGGCCTGCAAAGTGCTTCCAGTTCTTCAGAGCAGAGTTCTCCAGGCACCACAATGTAGCAATCAAAATAAAACTGCGTAGAGAAGGCTGGTCTATCGCTGTGTCTGACCTCTGCCCCATCATCCCCTCCCAGCACAGCTTCCCCACCCGGAGCGGTAGCCAGAGCACCAACCAGACTAGGAGTTCCTGGCTGGGCGCTGGCATTTATTGGCTTTAGGCCAATTACCTGAGCTCTCCAAACCTCAGTTCCCGCATCCCTAATGTGAGGGTAAGGTAGCTGGCGCTCTGTTCGCCTCAGAGAACTGCCTTGGGACTCAAGGAAACAATGTACCTAATGGAAGTCTAGTGTGAGCTGTTGTCACTGCTTCCATCCACCAGCCAGCCCTGCAGTCAGTGACCTGTGGCTGTCACCCTTACCCACTTTTCTCCCAGCCTGGCTATGGCTCCCTTTGCCCTTGGCCTCCCTGAAGTCCCAGAGTCAGTAAAACCCAACTGTAAATCTGGAGAAGCGAAAAGGGTCTCTCCCCTTCCATCCTCACCTATGGAAGACAATATAGGGTGAGAGTCTGACTCACAGTTTTGGTTTCCTCCTCCCCCCACCCCGCCCCCCAAGAATCACAGATCTAGGGAAACAGCTCCTTGAAGGCAAAGATTGTGTTGTTTTTATCTCTTTGCCTCCCTCTGCACCTCCTCTCCTCCATGGCACCTGGAGTAGTAAGGACTCAGTAATTGGTGTAAAATAAGAGAATGAAGTGTTAAAATATCTCAGAATACAAGCCTCGTGTTCTAGTCCCAGATCTTCAACGACTGTCTCAGGCAGGCTGTCCCTCTGTATGCGTTTGTCTTCTCATCTGTAAAAGAGGGTTGCACTAGACGTGTTTTATTCCCAATTTCTGTGGGGCAACCTGAGGGCTGTTCCGAGCCTGCAAATCCCTAAATTCTCCTTGAATACAGGATATGAGCTTTATAAACCTGATTGAAGAGTAAGTCAATGTCCTCTCAATGAAGAACTGGGTTTAATGAATGCAGTGAAATGGAGACATAAGATCTAGGAAAAGACATTTATAGTTTTTGCATTTTCTTAAGCTCCCCTACTCTTCCCTATTTTCCTGGGAAAGCCCAGGAGTGAGTTACTGAGCTGGGAGGGCTCCTGCCGCCAAGCCCAGAGGCCAGGAAAGCTCTCCCCGCATGACAGCCCTTGGGAGTAGCCAAAGGCTAGGGACCCAGTCCTTGGCCATCTCTTCCCAGGAGCCCTGCCTGCCTGGGATACCCCTCCTAATATGACGGAAGGAGGGGACAATCTGGAAAGATCCATCTCTGGGGAGTTTTTTAAATATAAAAATGAAGTGAGCTTCTGTGACAATAATTTTCCTCAACCGTGGCAGGCCGGGCTGATGTGCAGAAAAACCTGAACTAACTGGCATTGGGTAGAACTGAGTACGCCACGCCAGCGACCCCCCAACTTCCCTATCACTGCCCCTCCCTCCATGTCAGTGCTTTCTGGCTCTCAGCTGTTGGTGCAGCACTGGCAAGAATCAGCTCCTCAGAGTTAATGGACAGTCACTAACCCTCATAACAAGGTGACAGCAGCAGTAGCAGCAGCAACTATGGAGAGGGCCTTTATGTTCTGCAGGACTGGTCTGTGGGGGTGCTGGCCTGCTGCTGGGGCTAGGACCGCCTCTCCTTCTATGGCTGCCTGCTGGACACCCCACCCCCAAATCTGTCAGGGTTCGGGGCATCTCTGGTCACCAGAGAGACACATCTGGCTTCTCTCCCAGCAGGGAAAAACTACCTACTGGCTCCTTCCTGTGTTCCCCTCCAGTCCCTCCCTGCTGAGGCTGCCACTCTGGACCCCCCTGCACGGCTTCAAAGGGAAGAAGGGAGTCAGTAGGTAGTGGTTGGGGGCACGTGGTTGGGTAGTCTTGGTTATCTGGGGCTGGGGGCTAGGGAGGTCTGAGGAAGAGGAAGACATGAATATCATTAAGAAATGGCCTGTGTGTATGTATGTGTGTGTATGTAAGAAAGATTGAAACACTGAAATACACAGATGCAGGTCCCTTCCCCTGGGTGGCACACACAAAATGACAGGAAGAGAATAGAGAAATCTGCACATCATTAATTACCTTCAGGTTCAAAGGCACATTCATCTGTGCATCCCGGAGGGACTTCCAGGCCCAAAGTACAGCACCCAGGGAGGAAGAAGCAGAGGAAATAGGCTTCACTTTGGCAAGAAGAGTCATTTCAGTTCCTTAAACCTTGGGCATTTCCAACCCCCTCTCTTCCCCTAGAGCAAGGTCTCTTCTGCTACAAGCCAAGAGACAGTGAAGACTGACCTCATCCCTACTCTCTGGATCCACGTTCTGCCTCCTCCCTAATTCTCTCTTCTTCCTCCTCCCTGCAGCTGCTACTGCCCCCCCTCACCCCAAGCAAACCAAGCAGGGAGTGAGGGCCTGATGCTCTAACTCATTATGTGCACTGTCTTCTGCCATCAGATGCTCTGTTTCCTTGTAAGTGGTTGGGAATGAGCTGCTTCAGTGGAGAGACAGGTTGTTTCAGTGAGAATAAAAATCTGATTTCTGCCACAAAATGAACTACTTTGAGTAGTGGTGCCACCTCGATCCTCCCAGCAATTTTCACCCTTGTCAGCCACTGCCCCATGGCCCAGGCAGGTGACTTGTTGCCAGTCCAGCCCACGGAAGCCGGTGCGGCCCTGGATAGAAAACACAGTCGACTTCTTTTCCCAGAAGACACCTCTCCGTGGGAGCTGAGAAGTGTTCTGGTTGTTTGCTCTCTCTCCTGGGTTCCCTTCCTCAGCCCTCCTCTCCTCCCGCTCCATCAGTCCTTCAGTAATTCTCAAGTCTCTCTCCAGCCACTACCCAGGGCTTCAACTCCACACGTTCCGTTGCCCCGTGGAATTTCTACCCTGGGAGCCCACAGACACTTCAAGCCCAAACTCATCCACTGCTCCTTCCCATCCTGCTCTTATACGTATGTGTGTGTTTCATTTTTCCAGCTCGAAACTTGGCGGGCATTTTTGATCTAAATATTCTGTTGCCTTTCAACTCAGGAAACATTTTCTGCCTCTGTTCCTTTAATTATTATTTTCCTCTAGTCTTTCTGTTCTGTTATTCTGAACCTCGTACTCGGTGGATGCTGGACCTCTGAGACTATCCTCCAAATCTCTTAATTTTATTTCATAGGCTCCATCTTTTTGTCTTTTTTTGCTGTATATTTTGGGGAAGTTTATTAACTTTTTCTCTTATATTAAAAAGTTGGTTTTTTTAAAAAGTTAGTTTTTCACTGTGTCCATTCTATTACCAAGTTTCTGCATTAAATTTTTGAAAATTTAGACAATTATTTTCAATTTCCCAACTACTTTCATGTTCTTTGCTCCTTTTATATAGCAACTTGTTCTTATCTTATAGATGAAACATCCTCATATCTGTGAGACTATGAACTCAAAAAAAATTTAAAGATCTTGCTCTGAATGGTGTGGCCCAGTCGGTCAGAGCATCACCCTACAAAGTGAGAGGTCGCTGGTTCAATTCCTAACTAGGGCATATGCCTAGGTTTCAGTTTTGATCCCTGGTCAGGACACATACGAGAGTTGATGTTCTCTCTCCCTTCCCCCCCTCTCTAAAAAAATTAATTAATTTTAAAAATTATGAACTATAGTTTTAAAAAAATGGAAAGATACTTCCTACAACTCGGATGCTCCTGGTATTATTAGGTCAATTGTTCTGTTTATTTGTACGTTTTCTTTTTTCTTTTCTTGTATTCATTATTGCTTTGTGCCCATTCAGTCTTATTAATAAAAGAAGGTGCTGACTAGCGCGGGCAGCTGGCGTGGGTTTCCTTGGAAGCCGGCACGTGTGTTTCCCTAACAGGCCTCCCCTCTGAATGGGGATTGTTCTCCCCCTGGGGTTGGGGGCTGCAGGTTTCTTCACCAAGGAGTTTCATCTGCTCTGTATGTCCCAGACAGTCCTCAACATTTTTAGCCCACTGATATTTTTCTTTTCTCTTGTCCAAATTTATGGTTGTATTCTTTAAGAATATATGTATGTCCTGTCACGTTTGTGTTTTTTAATGATTTTATTTATTTACTATTTTTAGACAGAGGAGAAGGGAGGGAGAAAGAGAAGGAGAGAAACATCAATGTGTGTTTGCCTCCCCTGTGCCCCCCTGGCCCCCGACACTGGGGACTTGGCCCGAAACCCAGGCATGTGCCCTGGACTGGGAGTTGAACGGGGACCCTTTGGTTCACAGGCTGACCCTCCATCCACTGAACCACACCAGCCAGGTATGCGCT